GGGTATTCAACAACCTCTCTCTTGTGGTGGTGGTCGCTTGTAGAATAACGTGCTTTTGTTAGCCCCATTAATGCAACACACCCAAGTATTTGAAGGAGGTCTCTCAGCTACAGACATGTGGGTAGAATATTATTTCTACATATAAGTGCAGGAAACATTTTTCATGCACTTGTGTTTGGGTCAGAACAGATATTCTTGGGCGTTGGAGGGGACCAGAAAGTTATTTGGAATGCTTTGGTTTAGTGGTGATTCCATACTTCACATCTTTATTTTATTCCAGTATAATAACTAAAAAAAGTAAAGGTTTTTTAAATTTAAGTTTTACATGTTAGACCATTTAACATTCTGTTACTGATATGCACATGCACTATTCAGACCACGTTAGTGAGTCCAATATTTTTTTTGTTTTTATTTAAGTTTATAAACTATAAGCATAAAGTGATACTGTTAATCCATGTGTTGAAGCTATTGGTTATGGTTGTAATTTTTTTAAGTTAGCTTTCAGAGGTTTTGATAATCCAAAAAACTACATTTCCTTATAATTATTGAACCTATGTATAGTTTTTAGTCAGTAGAATCCATCTATCTTCCTTTCCTTACTATCCCATCTCCTACTTGTAAAAAGAGTGTTTTATCCAGATCCATGAAGCCCTCTATGATTTATTTATTTTCTCCCCACTGGTCCACCCTTAGGATTTTGTATTTCTTAGAATACTTAATACACTTGTGTGTATATCTTATTTTCTGTACTGGGAATTACTTTGAAGTTTTTTGGAACTCCCAGGTGCCTTGTCAGTAATTGTAAGTGGAGTCATATCATACCTCAGCTTTGCAAGGGGATTTTATTAAAATTACAGTTACAGTGCCCTAACAGTGTGGTTCAGGGGGTTGGTGCTTCATCCCGTGCAGTTTGATTCCACGTCAGAACTCTGCCATATCTAGGTTTTAGGCCTGATCCTCAGGGTCGGGCATGTAGGGGAGGCAACTGATAGATGTTTCTCCCTCAAATCAGTGCTTCTCCCTCTGCCTCCTCCTCTCTTTTCCCCCTCCCCCTCTCATCCTCCCTCTCTAAAAATCAATTTTAAAAATTACAGTTATACGCAACTTAACCACAGGGATATGTTCAGAGAAATGTCATTAGGCATTAGTCATTTGTCATTGGGCAAATACAGAGTTCATGTACACAAACCTCGGTGGTTTAGCTTACTTACTACACAACTAGGCTGTATGATACATAGCCCATTGCTCCTGGGCTACAAGCCTATATATGGCATGTTACTGCACAAAACAACACAGGATTAAATCAACCAGTAACATAGTCATTTATTGTCATTATCAAGTATTATGTACTATACATAATTGTATGTGCTAAACTTTTATACTACTGGCAGCCTAGTAGGTTGGTTTATACCAGCATCACCACTTGCATTGCAGTTAGAAGTTACTAGGCAATAGGAATTTTTCAACTCCGTTATAATCTTATGGAACCACTGTTGTATATGCTGTTCATTGCTGACTAAAATGTTATTTGGCGCAAAACTGTAACGACATGCACTAATAGGACACTGAGTCATAGAGATCCTAAGTGACTTACCAGGATCACATAAGTAGAAAGTGAGATATTGAGTTTCTTATCCTGCACTTGTGACTTTAAATCGTACATTTTTCCACTAAATTGTGAGGTTTTTGATATTTGTTTTTTGTAGTTAATATTAACTACATGGCTTTAGAATGAACTTAGATGCCAGTAGAATTTCTGGATCCAGGTATATAGTGAGGGAGGACACATTTGAAAATTGTGTATACAGGATTTAAAAAATTATATTGGTTTAAAATTATCTAAATATTTTTCGCTTTATTTTCAGATGTGGAAATGTAAACTTTGCCAGAAGAACCAGCTGTAATAGATGTGGTCGGGGTAAGCATTGAGGAAGCTTCTATTAGGACAGTATATACAGATAAATTCATTATTTCCCCAGATTCATATTGCATAATTTTTCTATTTTCAGAGAAAACAACTGAGGCTAAGATGATGAAAGCAGGGGGCACTGAAATAGGAAAGACACTTGCAGAAAAGAGCCGAGGTCTATTTAGTGCTAATGACTGGCAGTGTAAAACGTATGTGTTTATTATCATCCACTCTTCTTCCATAAAAATGTATCTCATTACTTGTTAATGTTACCAACTCTTATTAGTCACATTAACAAGCCAAGGTCACCTTTAAATCAAAGATCTGTTGATTGTTATTCAGTCTGTATCTTATACATAAGTGTAAAGAACTATTAAGTTCTGTTTTTTAATAGTAATATTAGTTGTTACAAGGATGGGGTGTGTATACCAATAAACATGCTTAAGGTGAGCTGACATCCCCCAAAAAGCCTACTTCTATTACTGAGAAATCTCAAAAATAATTATTAATGTGAAATACACCATAAAAGTTATTTTACCTGTTTACAAAATAATTTTAGAATCTGTGTGCCAAAATAATTATTCCTAGTTAGATAGATTTCTTAATATTTTTGAGTTCTATATTGATTTTTCCAATTTCCATTTTTTTTAATGTTGTGCACATGAATCAAATATATAAAAGGATTTCATCAGAAGGGGGTTTTATAAATTTCTGACATAGATATTAATTTGTGCTGAAGAATTTTCCAGCAACAGATTAAGACTGGGTTTGGAATTCAATACTTGAACTGACTCCTCAAAAAGGAAAAAGTGACCCTTCTTTGATGTGAATTCAGAGGCAGAAATTAATAGAATCTTTGATTTCAAATGTTTTTCCCCTAAGGCATCAGAATCTCTATGAGTATGATTTGTCATTTCTTTTTCATAAAATGAGAAAGGCACCATACTGTATTGCTTTTGCTTCTCTACTTAGTTAGAACCCACATTCTCTCTTCAGAAAAAAAAGTACAATGGTACATTTTCCTTGTTTGCAATATTCTTAGTATATTATGGTAGTGATTTCATCCTAGTTTTTATTTTAAAATTCTAGAATGTGTAAAAATTTACTATTTTTCTTGTAGTTATCTACTAACTTGGTATTTTTAACTTCTAAAGTTGCAGTAATGTGAATTGGGCAAGAAGATCAGAGTGTAACATGTGTAATACTCCAAAGTATGCTAAGTTAGAAGAAAGAACAGGTAAGATAAAAGGCACATTCTAACAATGATTTTTAAAAAACTAAAAGTTTAATTGACAGTTATATCATCTGAAGAGCACAGTGATTGAGGATTCTTTCTGTTATACTTTTACGGTTTTTTTCCCTTGATTTTTGTCCCTTGTACTCATAAAAATCCTTTTGTTTTTGAATTTTACAATTTACAAAGTACAGCATTAGGAAGCTGTAGCCTAACAGTGACATTAGAATACTTTTAGAATACTATTCCCTTTTCCCCCACTGATCTAAATGTTTATTATCCAATATAATAAAAGGCTAATATGCAAATCCACCGAACAGTGGAACAACCAGTCGCTATGATGTACACTGACCACCAGGCGGCAGACACTCAACTTAGGAGTTGCCCCCTGGTGGTCAGTGCACTCCCACAGGGAGAGTGCCACTCAGCCAGAAGCTGGGCTCACGCTGGTGAGCACAGTGGTGGTGGTGGCAGGAGCCTCTCCCACCTCCGCAGCAGCGCTAAGGACATCAGTTGGACATCTCCTGAGGGCTCCCAGAGTGCGAGAGGGCGCAGGCTGGGCTGAGGAGTACCCCCCCACACCCGCCACACCCAGTGCATGAATTTCATGCACAGGGCCTCTAGTTAAGGATAACTGCAATAGAAATAATACACTGATCTTTGTTCTTTTGATTTCATTAGAATAAATTCTCCGAAGTTGGATTAATTAATTTGTTCAAAATATAGAATCACAGAATTGTCAAGTTAGTGCCTTAGTTCTTCCTTTGAAGTACGTGTTATATTCATCCCCTTTTCTCTGTTCATTTCATGGCCCTAACTTAGGCTTGATTTAAATGTGTGTTCAGTATCGTTCACTGCTTTACATTTTATTATGAGACAAATTTGAAAATACTTTTATATTAACACCTACAGAGGTTCTTAGTTGCTTGTGTCACTTAACTATTTTAGCCCTGGCCTATGTCGTTCAGTGGATGAAGCATTGGCATGAGCACTAAAGGGTTGAGGGCTTGATTCCCAGTCATGGGTGCATACCTGGGTTGTAGGTTCTATCACCAGCTCTGGTCTGGCACGTGACGGGGGCAGGGACGCCACCAGTCAATGTGTCTCTCTCACTTTGTTGTTGTTTCTCTTTCTCCCCCTCCCTCCCTTCCACTCTAAAAATCAATGGAAAAAATATCCTTGGGTGAGGATTAACAAAAAAGCAACTGTATTTTAAAGCCTTCTTTAAAAAGCTCAAATTCTTTAAATGGCACTAGAATTATGTTGTTTTCTATATTCATTCATTGATTAAATAACTCATTGGCCATTGTGCAAGATGTTGGGGATACTTGGGTAAGCAAAATAGACATCTAGAGACAAAAGTTAATGAAGTCTTTTTAAGAAAGCAGTGTGTTTGATAAAGCATTGTTTAAGCTAAGAAGAAAAAGAATTACCTAAATAACAAGTTGAAGATGATTGCAAGCAAGGGTAAACAGCTTGTGTAAAGGACCTGAGACTTGAAAGAATGTATCATATTGGATGTAACTAGATTGTTACTCTTGACTTGATACCTTTGAAGTTTAGATTTTTACTGTGAGTCATCTCTTAGTTAGCTCCAGAAAACACTAAAGAGAAAGAAACACTTTTAAAAGTCAAAAGCCATTTAAATCATGGTGTAAGGAGTTTATTTCATTCTAAATATAATGGGAAATATCTGAAAGATTTTTGACAAGGAAACAATACCTCAATTTTCAAAAAATATTGCTGATTTGTACAAAAATAATTTGAGGGAGGGTGGCAAGAACAGAAACAAGAAGACCAATTTTTACAATATAACCTGACAAACTTCAAACCAATGGAAAGAAGGAAACACACATATAGGCCATGCTAACTCACCTTTTTCAATGAAAATGATGTGTTCAAGTTTTTTCATGATAGAGAGCTGTGTGTTCCATGTATCCATCCCTTCATAAAGGTGGATTTGTTGTATTGGTTCACACAACATTCTATATAATAAAAGCACAGTGCAAATTGTCCCCTTGACCAGGAGTTTGTCCGGGAGTTCGGCCAGAGGTGGGGCCGGCCTGGGGGAAGGGATGGAGGCCCTGGCTGGCAGCTGCGGTGGCAGCAGGCTACTGGGAGGAAGGGAGGGAGTACCCAGCTGGCAACTGCTAGGGCAGTGATGGCGAACCTTTTGAGCTCGGCATGTCAGCATTTTGAAAAACCCTAACTTAACTCTGGTGCCGTGTCACATATAGAAATTTTTTGGTATTTGCAACCATAGTAAAACAAAGACTTATATTTTTGATATTTATTTTATATATTTAAATGCCATTTAACAAAGAAAAATCAACCAAAAAAATGAGTTCACGTGTTACCTCTGACACACGTGTCATAGGTTTGCCATCACTGCGCTAGGGGCTCTACCATTGCACGAATTTCATGCACTGGGCCTCTAGTACCTTGTCAGCAGATTATTTAGGTTGTTTTTCTGTGGCCTGTATGAGATAACATGAAAATAGCATTGTATTTGCTATGATATTCATATTAAAATAATTTCTACTTACATATATATGCAAAATTACCTATGTGAATTATAGTTCACTTTCTAAATTTTGACTATAATGTATTCTTTAGCTCTCCATTTTTGCCATATCATTTTTCAACTATAAATTACTAAATGATGGAAATACCATGAATTTTTTTTTTACCTACTTCTAAGTATTTTGAAGTTTAGATTTTTACTGCGAGTCATCTCTTAGAATTTGTTATTTATCAAACTACTCATACTTTAATCTTGGGATGTACTGATACAATATTAACTAAATTTAGAGACAAAGAATATTGTTGAATTATAACTTTTCATTATTTTTTTAATCCAGAAAAAACATTGAGCATGAGTGGTTCTCTTGAGGTGAACATAACCCACTTATGCTTAGTTCTGTCTTCTTATGATATTCTGAAAAACTACAGCTAAAATGTTAAGGAAAAGTTAATGGTATTTAATACATTTGTTACTCATGTTATATGGACAAAAAGAAAAGGAAATTCTTAAATTTTTCCATTGGAGTGCATATTGTCTCTGAAACAAAGTAGGAAGAGGAGGAAAAGGATGATATGCAAGTATTTCAAAGGTAAACATTGATACATTGCAGTTTTTACTGGTACAACGTATAATGAAGAAAAGAAAGAATGTTATATTAAAGAAGATGATATTTATTATGCTACTCTATTAAAACCGTTCCACTATTCGTGGCTGTTAATGAAATGATAATAGGATAATGATCATTCTTTTAATGCCCATGTTTGATAAATTTAAAGTCACAAATCCCAAATTAAAAGTATTTGTTTGCAAGTTTAATGTTTTTCTGGTTCGTGAAGTCCTTAAATCTGGAAATCACTGGCCTCATGTGCTGGTATTGCTCTGGAATGTTAGGGTAGATTGTTAACTATTGACTTGATACCTCAATTATTTTTCAGTGGGAGATTTACTCAAACTCTCTCTCATCTCACTTTCTGTAAAATTAACTCACTTTCTCATTCCAATCTCTGTGAAATGTATGTGAAAGACTTAGTCTGCGGGGGGGTTGGGGGGCGGGGGTGACAGTCTACTTGTAGGTGTTAATTGTGACATGAAAGAATAATGGTTTGCTGATCTTGATTACTTTTTAATAGAATATTTTCAGTTTAAAAGTTAATTGGCTGCTTCAGAGACCCCTCCGTGACTTCTACCTCTGTATTAAAAACAATTTCATTAACCCTTTGCGGTCCAATTTTATTTTTGGAATTCAAACAGTCTGGTCCAAATTAATTGACGGATTGAATATTGAACCGGTTTGTGGTGTCGACCTCAGCCTCGACGTTGGACCTGCTTCCTGGTCTGTCGAGTCAGCCTCCACGTTGAACCGAAAAGGGTTAAAAGCAATTTGGATCTCCATTATCATTTTGCCTGGTGTAATTTGTAATTTTAGCCCAGCAAAATTTCAATATATCAAGACTGCAGACTATCTGCAGTTGGTAAACAGTGAAATTTGATTCTTGGTTCTTGTTTAGGCCAATTCACCTGAACAATTATGATAAACTACAGAGAAAAGTCCTTTTTACTTTTTAAACTTAGTTATACTAGAGGTTTGAGGAGATGTTTTTCACCCATATATTCCCATGCATGCTCTACCTCTTTGATGCAGTGGTTCTCATCCTTCCTAATGCCGCGACCCTTTAATACAGTTCCTCATGTTGTGGTGACCCCCAACCATAAAATTATTTTCGTTGCTACTTCAGAACTGTAATTTTGCTACTGTTATGAATCGTAATGTAAATATCTGATATGCAGGATGTATTTTCATTGTTACAAATTGAACATAATTAAAGCATAGTGATTAATCACAAAACAATATGTAATTATATATGTGTTTTCCGATGGTCTTAGGCGACCCCCAAAGGGGTCGCGACCCCCAGGTTGAGAACCGCTGAATTAAGGACACTTTGAAATTGAGAAGAGGTGAAAGTATAGTGACAGGACTTTCTAACCTTTTAACTTTTAAGTATCTCACATTGAGACTTTTCTCTGTAGTGTTTTTTTTTGTTTGTTTTTAAAATAATGCTTTTTAAAATACTAGTAATTATTATATGCACAGGCAAATCTCAGGGCAAGATTTTTCTTTTTTCTGTTGCTTGTAGATGATTTTGAGAAGTTTTTTTTTTGTTTTGCTATTTTAATGAATTGTCAGAGGATAACAATTTATGCCCTTCTTATTTTAGGATATGGTGGCGGCTTTAATGAAAGAGAAAATGTTGAATATATAGAAAGAGAAGAATCTGATGGCGAATATGATGAGGTAATAAGCTATGCATTAGTGTGCAGGTTGAATACAAGTTAGAAAAACATGTTAGAAAGTATCTTAAGTGCAAAGGAAAATATAAATGTATCTTATTTTTGTAAGTACACTTTGAATATTACAAAAACATATTTTAGGAAATCATAATTGACTATATAATTGGCATAATGGACTTAAAATACATATTAATTTAAATGTATGCAAGTTTCTTTAGAAAAAAAGTATTAGTACATTTTTAGCTGACAGAAATTTTATGAAACTTTTTCTCTAGTTTGGACGTAAAAAGAAAAAATACAGAGGGAAGGCAGTTGGTCCAGCATCTATTTTAAAGGAAGTTGAAGATAAAGAATCTGAGGGAGAAGAAGAGGATGAGGATGAAGATCTTTCTAAATATAAATTGGATGAGGTAAATGATTTTTTTCCCCTTTGTATTATTTCAGTTATGACATAACATATGAATGGTTTTGATGACCTTTGGCCCGTGGTGAAGATATGTTCTGGCTGTGTACTCATTTGTTCTCACCAAGGTTTTGAGGTTTCACTCTGCCAAGCACTATTCTGGCTCTGGAAATACAATAATGACTGAGACAGAAACACCCTTCTTTTAATGGAACTTAAGCAAAATAAAGGTTCCCTGAATAGGAAACAAGCCAGCAACGTTTTAAAAAAATCAACATAGGCTAGTGTGACTAGAGCAAAGGGAAGAATGTGGGAGGACAGCGAGCACATGAAGTCTGGTGTTTGTTCTGTGGGCCTGAGTGTAAAGTTTTATGGTTGGATGTATAGGCCTAGATTAAGATCATAAGAGGCCCTTGAATGCAACTAAACAAATCAAAATTTTTAAGAAACAAATAAGGTATCTGACTTGTATTTCAGAGTGATGAGTGTCAATATGCACAGGCGACCATTGAACAACACGGGTTTGAATGGTGCAAGTCTACTTATACACAGATTTATTTTTCAATGCATATTATAATGTATTGTCTTTTTCTTGTGATGTTCTTAACATTTTTTCTCTAGCTTTATTGTGAGAATACAGTATATAATACATATATCATAAAATGTGTTGTTTTTTTAAAAAAAATATTTTTATTGATTTTTTTACAGACAGGAAGGGAGAGGGATAGAGAGTTAGAAACATCGATGAGAGAGAAACATCGATCAGCTGCCTCCTGCATACCCCCCACTGGGGATGTGCCTGCAACCAAGGTACATGCCCTTGACTGGAATCGAACCCGGGACCCTTGAGTCTGCAGGCCGACGCCCTATCCACTGAGCCAAACCGGTCAGGGCCATAAAATGTGTTAATCAACAGTTTGTGTTTTCTGCAAGGCTAATACTTAGGTTTTAGGGGAGTCAAAAATTATGCGTGGGAGGTTGGTGCCTCTAACCTCTGCATTGTTCAAGGGTCAACTTGAACATTGAGATAATTGGGGAGGCAGAATGGATTTTCTTAGATCACATAAAAAGTTACTGTAATATCAGTAGAGAAAAGAATGAAGTAGTAGGGAATATGGATTCAATGACTTTAATGGGAGTAAAATTGAAAATTGTTGACAGCTCCTTGGTACTACTTTATGACAGAAAAAGAGGAAATAAGCACTACTAGGTTTACTTCTTTGAAATATTTGAGATAGTTGTTAAGTCTGCTTAGCTTGAGAGTGAATTTGCTGAGATATTAATGATGTTATTTAAATCCATATGGAGATGCCCACTACCTAGAACTGTTCATTATTCCTATTAGATAGCATTAATATCTAATTGTTGAGTATAATTGACTCTGAATTTTTGTTAGGATGAGGATGAAGATGATGCTGATCTCTCAAAATATAATCTTGATGCCAGTGAAGAAGAAGATAGTAATAAAAAGAAATCTAATAGACGAAGTCGCTCAAAGTCTCGATCTTCACATTCACGATCTTCATCACGCTCATCCTCCCCCTCAAGTTCAAGGTCTAGGTCCAGGTAAACGGGTACAGGTCAAGGGTAACACCAGTCAAAATGTCAGTATCTAACTTCTTTATTTATAAATTTTGTTTTTATTGACTGAATAAGCTTTCCTTTTATTTTAGAGATTTCATTCAAGTCATCTTTTAAAAGATAATTTTTTCTTAGTGCCTTGAAGTTACTGTCCAGTATTTTCAGAAATGCAAATTTTAATATGAAACTTCCTCAGTCCATTTATCTCCAGACCTTTTATTAAAATAGACTTTAAAGATCTAATTAAATCATTACGTAAAGTGTATTATCTACCTATACAGTTTACATTTAAAAATTTTTAAGTAAAGTGAATATTTGTTTTCACTAGTAAAGGCTAATAATAGAAATTTTCTAGGCCTTAAGTTTTTGCTTATTACATAGTGCTTAGATAATTTACTTTGTTATAGGTATTCTGAATAAAGGAGAAAATTCAGTCATAGATTAAGTTTTATTGGCTTAATTCTTATAATTTTGAGATGTTCAGGAATAAATTAGAGGAGTCAATTGGTGGTGTACTTGAATATTATTTTGTTAGTAATGTAAAATTTTAGTAAATATTTCCTGATTGAGTAGTCAACAATAAAAATAAAATTTTATGTGAGAAAAATCAGTGCTTTGTATAAACCGTTTCCTTGAAGAATTCTTATTCACAGTTTAAGTTAATCAACATGCAATGAATTTTTAATGTATTTAGGAAAAATTATTAGCTAATTGAGTACTTAACAATTAGTAAAAGCTTAAAAGTGATTGATTCTAAAGATAATTTTAAGATGAAAATGTTACATTCTTTTGCTGCAGGCTATTTTAAGGAACCAATTAAAGGTGTAAGATTACTACTGAATTTTACTTCTGTTGTGACTTCTGAAATTTAAATGAACCATATCTCCCTGTGTCATTTTCCAATTATATAATTACCTAAAACAATGACAGGGTTGTTAATGTATTTTCCCTTTAATTCTCTAACATTTGAGCAGGAAGAAAAATAGGGTTAAACAAACATACACATGTCAACATTTAAAGCTTCATACTAAATAGTGAATGAGGAAATGGAAGGGATTTTATAAGGAAAATTAATAGATATTTCAGAGAAGTTAATTAAATGTAAACTGCAACATTCAAATCCTTGGACATGTTAAATCCTGTTAAGTTACTTTTAAATATTGTAAATGTAAAGTATTCAGTGTTAATAAAGTGATAATACTGAATGTTTTAATTTGTACAATCTTGAGTAATATTTAGAGTAATTTTGTCAAACTTGAAAAGTGATAGTTGATTATTTTTTTTAAATTACCTATATCTTTAAGTTTTTGCATAAATATCAAAACAAAGAGTTACTTTAAAATATTATGTTATGAAAACATATATCAAAATAGTTGTCCTTTTACATGAAAACGAATTCTAATGCATATCTTTCTTTCAGTGTTCATATCACAAAGTTCAATTAAGTGGTCCTGGAAAAAAAAATCCTTCCATGTTGTTCCAGGTCCCGTTCAAGAAGTTCTTCCAGTTCGCAGTCAAGATCTCGTTCCAGTTCCAGAGAACATTCGAGATCTCGTGGGTCGAAATCAAGGTGAATGAGGTAGCATCTCTCTGTAAAGCAGAGAGAAAAAAGTATTTAAAGGCCGCAGAAGGTGTTGCTGCTTCCCCCCCACCCCCTTATTTTGCTTCTATTATCAATTTTATTTTAGCATTAGAAAACTAATGCACTTGCCTTGGCTTAATTTTCTCACCATGAGATGTTTCCATTGCCTGCAGTGTGCCAAGACATTCCCATGATTGAATTAAGGTTATTTTGCATTGTGCAAGGTTTGTTATTTGTGCTAAAATGTGATGAAGTAGGAAGACAGAGCCAAGTCTTACTACCAAATATCTCATACATTAGTTATGTTTGCAGTAGTACTTCAAATAAAATTAGAGATATGCAAATAAAAAGGAAATGTTTATTCTTTTGTTTTTGTTTTTTGTTAATCCTCACTGGAGGATATTTTCACCTTTGATTTTTAGAGATTGGAAGGGAGGGAGAAGGGGGAAGGAGAGAGAGACACACACACACATTGCTTCCCACATTCACCCTGATGGGGGCAGGAACCTGCAGCCCAGGTATGTGCCCTTGACCAGACTCAAACCTGTGACCCTTCTAGTACACAGGCTGACGCTCTAAAGATACACTGGCCAGGGCTTTTTTCTCATTTTTAAAAGGAAGAAAAATAAGTTCACCTCAAAACAGATTTTGTTTTAAAAGGCAATTGTTTCAATATTTATAGAAATGATTTTGTTATTTATATCAGATAAAGTTTCCCGGGGGGACGATCTTATACATATTTTCATTTCTCTGTAATATTACATAGACTATTATAAACTGTGTGAGAACAGACACTCCTCTTAAATTCCACAAACTAAATCAAGAAGGTGGTTGGTTAGTCTAAGTAGAGTGTGGTCTTAAGTAATATTATTGTTAACTCTAAGTTACATTTAGTTATACAGTTTCTTAAAAAGCACATGAGACACCAGTTTTTCTAAACATTGTCAAAATGTACTGCCTCTCTTTTTAAGTTAATTTATTGATCTAGTAAAGGCATCTAACGTGAATAAGGAAAACACAAAAAATTCCACTTGTGTGGAACTTTACACTGAAGTTTAGTGGTAGCTCCTTTGGTAAAAATAATGGCTTAATAGCTTATTAGAGCCAAGTCTATAGCATTAGAGGGCAACAACAGTTTAACAACGTTAAGAAGAAAAGAATGATATGCACATTTGTATTAAGCCAATACAAAATAGAGAGCAGAAGAGTTTATTGTTGTTACTGTGGTGGTGATGTGTATTTATCATTGTTTTAGTCTTTTGAGTGCTTATTAGGTGAAGATAAGTCCTAGTTCCCTTTGGGAAGCACTGTAATAAGGTTTACAGAACAGCCTTTATATTCTTTCCAAACATTTTTTCATTGCTTATAACTTTCCAAAGAATTCTCCTTTTGGGCTTTCTAAGTTTATTTTAAGCCCAAAGGTGAATTTTTTGGGAAGTTTGAGCTAAATTACTTCAACCAAAATGTAAATGAAGAAAAAATTGCATTTAAACATTTGCATGGTTACCACTACCTAAAACATGTGAATGTCAACACTTCATACTTCATGAATAGTGGGCTTTCATAAAAATAAATATTGCTGATATAAATAAAGTTTTAAAGTTACTCATTTTATTTTTCTTTGAATATTTAACAGTTTAATAGTTGCTGTTTTTCTCATTTCTGTTTCCTATCCCTGCTTTTCCTATAGCAACTTAACTAATAAGTTTTATAATTCCACAAGGAATTGTTATGTTTACTTTTCTCAGGAGGTTGTGTATATATGATACATATTTTTCTCCAAATCGAAGGATGTATTTTCTAGACAAAAATGTGTAAATGCACAGTTTACCTGTTGGTTTTGCTATTTATGTATACTTTAAAATGAAAGCCTTAAGTTTTAAAAAAATAATTTAAAAATTTTACTTGAATATATTGGGCTGGTTGTTAATCATAAGTAGTAAACACTTACCTTACAATTTTAAAAAGAGATGAGATTAAAGTAAATGTATTTAAATAGAGTTGTTTTTATGGTTGAACCAGAAGTCTTCTGTTGAGTAAGCAGTAAGTATTCTTCTCATAAAATTTTCAGTTATAAATCCTTTTTGTTTTTGGAGCTGTTAACTAAATGATCTGCCTCATTTCTTCTTATAATGAAATGTTTGATTTGTTTCTCAATCAATGAAGATCCAGCTCCAGATCCCACAGGGGCTCTTCTTCCCCACGAAAAAGATCTTATTCAAGTTCATCATCTTCTCCTGAGAGGAACAGAAAGAGAAGTCGTTCTAGATCTTCATCTGGTGATCGCAAAAAAAGACGAACAAGATCACGGTCACCCGAAAGGTTTGGGTTTCTGTAGAAATAAGAATGGGTGTTCTTAAGTGTGTTTAATAGATTAAACTTCTAGTCAAGGATCGGATTTTTATAATCTCCTTTAGTCCAACTTTAAATTACTTTTCAACTTTAAACTTCAAAAAACATTAATTACTTTGTTTATCCTTTGTGCTTTGATCGGATTGTTTAGAAAAGTTGTAGATCAAGCCACTCTTCTATCTGTTCATTTTATTACTTAAATACTTATTTTCATATATAATTATAGCCAACTCTCGGTTATTTCTATCTTTTAAGATTTAATTCAAAAGCTGTGTGTTGAAGTAATTTAGAAGTTGATTTCTATATGTATTTAGTTGATATTATAAATTTTACATTAAATATTAGAAATTAATATTCTAAGGCATCTAGTAAAAATAATTATTCTAGATCACTGAAAATCTGTCCTCATTTAAATATGTGTAAATGCATTTTCACAGCAAATTATTGTTTCATACTCTTTATAAGGAAATTGTTCTTGTAGCTAATACATTTTTCATCTTGCAGTACAAACCCCGTTGTTTTTTTCTTCTTTTTGAGAAAGACCTTTACTTGATTATGTTATCTATGTGGACATTTTTTAGTTTGGAGAGCATGTCATCTGTCAGCCTTTCCTACAACAGACTAATTAATTAATTTTCCTCTTGATTCTCAACGTCTAATTATACAGTCAGTTTAATGGCTTCCTTTGTATCCTTGGCAAAATTTTTCTTATCCTTTCAGCTTGTGAAAGTAATGATTAGGTAAAATCTGATTATTGCTGGGTTTAGTGGTAGGATGCCTCATGATTCCTATTTGCACAGAATGATTAGTTTTGCTTCACATTTTGAAGTTTAGATAATTAAGGTTACACACAACTAGTCTTCTTTCTCTGCATTTGGTTTGATTTTTTTTGTAAGAAAATAACTCCATACTTGAGTGAAATTCATTCTGTTGATTTCTTACTTCTGCAAATTTTTATTTTAGCCACATATAATCCCCCTAGTTTGTTGTCATCTAAACTTAATGAACATGTTCTCTATTCCATAAGCCAGGTGATTGGTGAAAATACTAAACAACCCTGAGCCCAGGGCCAACCGCTCGGAACACCACTACTTTACCCAGGTTGATATATTGACTTATTCATATTAGCTGCATGAATATAACCATTTAACTAATTGTACAATCATCTTGTGAGACCTAGATTTCCAAAATGTAATTATTTATGAATATATATTCTTATATACATCCAGAAGCCTTGCTGTATCTGTTTTACATACAGACTTACCACACTATCTACAATGTTATCACAGAGATTGTTTTAGTTACTCTTCCATTAACAAGTTTATATGGCTTTGTTGTATATTACCTGTAATTTACCTATTTTTGCAAGGCTTTTCTTCCTTAAATAATTGAGAGGTGGCTATATCTTGAAATGAGAGACTTTTTAATTATAGAGAATTTTAAATTATACTATTACTGGGCTCACATCCAAGGTCTAAACACTAATTTTATGTGTATAAGTTTATATCTTAGATTTTAATTGTTATTTTTCTCTAGTATAATTAGGTTTGATTTTTGTATATTCTCAAAGTCTTATGAATGAATGATGATATCCAACTCCAGCTTATTAAGACTACCTTCTTTCTCTATTATGTCTTACAGGCACCACAGGTCATCTTCTGGATCATCCCATTCTGGTTCCCGTTCAAGTTCAAAAAAGAAATAATGTATTAAAATTTACATCTTAAAAAAAAAATCCAGTACAGTGCATGAAGCATATTTTTTAAGAAGTTGGTGTCTTACTTGGTCAAAGTGCTAAGTCTTCTAGTAGAGGTGCATGCCTTTCATTGCTTTTCAGAACAATACAGCTGTGTTTATTTGTGAAATTAAAAGTAAATGGTATTTTAAGCCATAATGTCCCAAAATAGATGCTCTATTTATCGTTCTTTATTTACAGTCATTTTTTTTAAAAAAAAACCCATCTCATCTATAACGAAGTACTTTGCTTCTTTTGGTTTTTTGTTTTTGTTTACTTGGTTTCCTAATTTGAACTCTTGTTTTCCTCATTTCCAAATAGGAATTGTTTAGTGACAAGGTTACCTTAGGCTTGCCTGAACTTTGGGCATGGAGGCAAGACTGTGGTGAAGTAGTTGGAAACAGTCTGTTTATGTTAATCTGAGAAAAGGAGTCAGCCTGTGTATGCTAACCTATGTCAAACTGATTCTTCTCGGAAAAGTTAAACTAGTTGTAAAACAGCCAACTAGAAACTTTATTCTTAAATTCCCTATGCTAAGGGTGCCTTAGAATCATTCTGTCTTTTATTCAGTTTTGCTTTTTGCACCACATTTCATGCAGAAAAATCTTGTGAATTGTAGAAGGAGAAAGGTGTTCCATATTTCTCACTCTGACACATCATTTGAGCAAGAATATCTAACAGTTCATTTCTAATCTGATAAGGTTGTCTGATGAGGAAAACATCTTATGTTCAAAATGTTTATCTTAATATTTTAAGAAGCTTTGTGTGATGTCTTTTAAAAATCCATTATCACACATGATAGGGTAGACAAAGCTAAATTATAGTTAATGAAGAAAGCTTCTGAAGTATAGTTCTCTTTGGGTGAATGACAAACAGAGACATTGTTAATTTAAGCAAACCTTTGCTGTGAGATGTTTAACTTTAAACACTTAATAAAATTTTTTTGAGTTATAAATGAATATTTATTTCTGCACAACACAAGCAGAAATAATTGTTCCTGTTCATTTGAAATTACGTATGGCTTAAAATACTTTCAGAGTTTGTCTTATTTCTCAAAATTAAAATCTGGTCACAAGCTTTATTATGTCTTTTGGTTTAAAAACAAAAGGTTTCTCTTAACAGTATCTTCAGTGACAATGCAAGGTAAGTATGTTAAGGAAGATCAGCAGTTGTGCTTGAGGACTTTTTGTCATGGGGATCAATACCCATTATTCTTGTTCTGTTTTTTGGGGGGTTTTTTTTGAACAGTAATGTCTTCTGCAATTAAAAACTAAAATGCTTTAAGGCATTTTGTAGACAGACCAAACAAAATTATATTTGTTTCTTTATTTTAAAATGAGTGGTTTTTCTCTTCACTTGATCTAAAGATGAAATCAAAATATCTTATGTAGGAATATTTTGATAATATTTTTACAATGAACTTGCCCCTTGTTTTTTTTTGTCTTAATTTTCTTTCCTACATTTACTGTAGTTTGCACAAGAACTTTTCTCTCTTGTAATTGTGCCTCAGACTTCTTGAAAGTCCACCTCCTAAAATGCCCAGATGATCTTTTAGATTTTACATGTTACTATTGGTTTATTCTTGTGCTTTCTGTATTTAAACTTTGGCTGTACTAAATAAATGCAAGATTATAAATTTAGCTAATAGTTGTTTACAGACAATTCAGATGATTATGATTTCATTTGGTTTAACTAAATTGTAGTAGTCCATAAGGAAATGATGCTGTAGACAAATGTAAATAAAGCTTGTGAGTCAAGCATCAAGTGGTGTTTGTTAGAAATAAATTAGAAATTTTAAATGCTGATTTAATGTTCATTTTTAAAGCTATTTGCAGCCTTGTTTGTTACTTCTCATTTTAAACTCTTTATATTCACTTACTGCTGCAGCCTTTTGCATCAAGGGTTCAAGGATCTGGAGAAGGGGCTGCAACATAAACGGATACACTAGACAAGAAATATAAATTTAGGAGGCATGGGGGAAAGCCAGGCAGAGAACTCCCCCTCTAGTGGAGTGGTTTTCTGAATCTCCGGACCCACGGCTTTTTATTTACTAGAATATATATACATTTGCCCTTTAGCAAAGCAAACAGACATTTCATTGGTAAGGTTTGATAAACAGTAAAAAATTAACAGGTTAGGAGATCGCCTTCAGCCATTTGGCCAGCAGCAGGATAATATAATGCTGATTTTTTTTTCAGCCCTGCTGAGTATCAAAGTCCATCAGCCTTCTGAGGACTTCTTGCATTTATGACCTGCTGGTCTTAGCCTCCAGCAACTTACCCTGTATATAACGTCATCTTATTTTCGTATAGGAGTGCTTGGTTTAAAACATTATAAAGCATCACTATCACCTTGGGTACTCAAAAATCAGAAAGAATCACTGATCAGCTGCCTCCTGCATGCCCCACACTGGTAATCAAGCCCACAACCCAGGCATATGGCCTGACTGGGAACAGAACCCATGTCCTCCTGGCTCCTGGATCAATGCTCAACAACTGAGCCATGCTGTTCAGGCTCTGAATTACTCTGAAAACTCACTTTATTGCACTCAATAACTGTTCTTTTTAACTGCTAAGTTATCTTAAGTTTCTATTTGCAGTCCTTTCACCAAGTTCAGAGTAAGCCTTAAATGTAAGATCATCTCTAGGCACATTTATCAAGATAAAACAATTCTTGTCTCAAAAAAGCTTCCTGTCTCATCTCTTGCTATGTGGCATTCATAGCCTGTCTTACAAATGTTGGTAAGAAGATAGGTAATTAAAAGTCATTTAAGGTATGTAATAAGTGGTTTATAGGTATTATTTAATTTTCTCTGTCACCCTTACATAATATGTCCCATTTAACATAAAGGAGGATTACACAGCTTAAGGAAATGAAAAACTTGCCCAAGGGAGCCACGGGTGTGGCTGAACGAGGATTAACCCCCAAATCTGATGGCAAAATTCAGTATTACCTATAATAACCAAATAAGCTTTTTGAGAAGATAATGTTAAGCCAAAATGGTCAGATGTTTTTTAATCCAGTGATTTTTATTTATAAGAAGGTGATCATCTCAGTCATGTATGGGAAGATAGGTAGACATGTTCAGTTTGTGGAATACCTTAAATTTACAGAAAAGTTGTGAAGATTATAGAGAGAGTTTCCATAAACTCCCCATCCAGTTTCTACCATCGTTAAGATATTACCACATATTTTTGTAAAAACTAAGAAAGCAGCATTGGTATATTACAGTTCAGATTTGATTTTAATTTTAACATTTTTCCATTACTTTGTTCTTAGATCCAATCCAGGTACCACATTTTCCTCTCTGGTCTGACATTTTTTCTTTGCTTTTGATGACTGACAATTTTAAGGAATATTGGCCGGGTATCCTGTAAATGTCCTCTTATTTTAAGTTTGTCTATATTTTTCTTTGTTATTAGACTGGGGGTATGGGTTTTTGGAATATGAATACCATAGAGGAAAAATGCCTTACCACATCATACCAGGGTTACATGGTATCCATATGACATCACTGGAGGTGTTAACCTTCATCACTTGGTTAAGGTAGGAATTGCTCTAATACACTATTGTAGTTAGTTTCTTTCCTCTTAGCCTACTCCCATTTTTTGGTAGCAAATCATTAAGTATAGCCCACCTTCAGCGTAGGGATGGGAGTGGCAGTATTAAATGCCGTCTTCTGTGGGGGAAGGCTTTCTCTTCATAATTTGGATTCTTCTGTAAGAAAGTTTTGTCTACTTCTTGGACTCATATATATTTATTTATTTTAGACTTTAGGTCATAGTTCAGTGCAGTGTTTAGTTTATGGTTCAAATTGTTCCATCTTTAGCCATTGGGAATTTTTTCAGGTTGGCTCCTGTGTCTTTGACATGCCTCCATACTCCAGTAGAATGGAAAGTAAATGATGGAGAGAAGGAAGAAGTGTTAGAGAGGTTCGTCGAATACTTAATGGAAGGGGATCTAGCAATGTGGTGGCAGTGGCATCAACCTTAAATAGGGGTCTTGACAGTTAACTAGAGTAACAGGAGGAATGGATCCATGTAGTAGAGCTAAGTTTGTAGTCACTGAGAGTGACCAGTAAACACGTTACGATTTTTTTCCCAGCCACACTGTAGCACATGGGTGCTTACCCAGGATATGGGATGTTGTAGCATTATACACAGAAACAGAAGATAAACATGTGATAAGTAATTCCTAAATGTCTATCAAAATAAAAGGTACTAGCATAAGAAAAATATAATAACCAGGTAAATTCATAAAAACTTTAATGAATTATTAAAATACATCTAAGAAGAATATGAAGAAAGTTATATAGCATTACTCAAGTAAAAGACCTGGATTTAAAGCTAAAAGTGTATAAAACAACCCCTTTCCTATTATTTCAATCCAGTGGGAGAACATTCCATAGAATTTTTCATGGTAGGGGAAAAAAAATAAAATGAGAAGAATCAGTTTTGCCTGAATGAAACCTTACGGATTAATAAGGTGAGCTAATTTGTGAAGGTTCAAGATTTGATTACATCTTAGGGGACCAAAAATAACTGGCTATGGGAAACCTTAGAAAATGAGAGGAATTTGTAATAATGCTGTCTGAATTAAACTACCACATTGAACACTGATTGAAATTGATGAGGTAAAGACCTTAACAGTATCTCCAAAATGAAACATCTGTAACCTAGTGGAGTCATCACAAAGACTGAGTACCTCCAACCTGAATGTAACGAAGTACTAGTAATGTTTACTTTAATGGGTGTGATGCAGTTTAGAATTGGCAATGATAATTGATTTCTATATTTCTCCCCCTAGAGTTAAAGTACCTGCTTTGAATTTTTCATGGTAGCTCTGTGACCCTGCCGTGTTCTTTATGTTTGGCACTTAAGTATATAACAAATCCTGGCTGTTATTTTTACCCTCTACTCATGTCTTCAGATATTTCATATAATACTAATACTCAAATTTTATTTCCTGCTTATTCCTTTCTACAGCACCAAATCTGTATCTCTACCCACTGTGTATCTGTCTCCTTTTAAGTAAATGTCAGTTTCACCATATCTAAATTCCCCCAGTATCCACCAAAACCAGTATTACATTTCATATCAATAAACAGCATTATCAGTAACTCTGGAATTTTTGTTTTGTTTTCTTTCCTCTTTGTCTTTCTAATTAAATTGGGGTGACATTGGTCAATAGGAAGGAATCCTTAGATTTCTCTTTTGCTTCCCTACTCTAAACCAAATCTGATTTACTTAGAATTAATAGTTCTACCTCAAAGCCTCAAACCCACACTGCCCCATTACTACTGCCACTACTTTGGTTTGTAAGCTAAGATACTATGTTGCCTCCTAAATGGTCATCTGGCCTCCAGTTCTGTCTGGCAAATAGAAGGTTTTCCATAGTATTTGCTGAATTAATTTGTTTCACCAAACAGTGATACCAAAGTGGTCTTTTTAACTATCAATTCTGTTTATGTCATTTCTTTCAGTGTCTTTCCATGGCTTTCAGGATTAAACTACAATCCTTTTATATATCATAAAAAGGTCATTTTTTTTTAAAGTACTGACATCTCACCACCTTATCCTCCTAAACTCCAAATCTAGTATACCTGGGTACATATGAACTACTTGCGAGAGACACTCATTGTTGTTCAAGTTTCCTGTGATATGAATGCCCTGCACACACTCCACTATCATCCCTTTCACGATTGGCCTCCATAACTCATTTAGAATACTCAGATATCATCCCGGTACTCCTGAGTTACCCTAGGGATTAGGGGAATTTCTTGGTAGACCTTCGAACAGCCTGTCAGGCATCAATGTTTGACAAGGGAGTCGGTTAATATCTGCTATATTTTTTTAAATATATATTTTTTAAAATACATTTTTTATTGATTTCGGAGAGGAAGGGAGAGAGAGTCTGCTGCCTCGTGCACTTCTACCGGGGATTGAGCCCACAACCTCATCATGTGCCCTTGATTGGAATTAGACCTGGGACCCTTCAGTCCACAGGAATTGTTCTGCTGCCTCGTGCACTTCTACCGGGGATCGAGCCCACAGCCCCATCATGTGCCCTTGATTGGAATTAGAGCTGGGACCCTTCAGTCCGCAGGCTGATGCTCCA